TGATCGTCCGTCCCGTTGGAAGTCCACGTGGTACCACTCCCCATCGTTGACCTTCTTGTTGATGGCTCTGGTCTTGGTGGTCCCTGACCCCATGTCCAACAGTAGATATAGGTGGCCGTCCAACATCTCGATGGCAAAGAAGTCCACCTTCAGTGTCAGGGGGCTCTTGGAATCCTTGAATTCAATTATTTAAAGAGCGTTTAAAATCCCAACACACAGTAAAAAAGTGAAGAAGATAAACAAATAAATCAGGATGAATAAAATACCATAAAACAAGCAAAACATTTAAATGTCTTTAATAAAATTATATTGAAATCACCTTAGGTGCCTGTTTGGGCTTGCCGTGGCTGAAGAGGAGAAGCCCATTGGGCTCTGTGGTGCGGAAGTCAAAGGAGATGGAGCCCGTCTTCTTGGCGTTCCACTTGTTGAGCGTTATGAAGGACTCGGGGGTCTCGAAGGTGATTGGGTCAAGGGTTGCCACGTTCTCACATTTGAAAGCCACGATGCCATGAACCTTCATCTTGGCATCACCCAGTTTGGCCATCCTGGACAGCTCGAGTCGCACGTCGTTGTTTTTGTACACAACCTAGGTTGATGGAGTGAGGGAGGGAAGAGAAGGGAAGGGAAGGGAGAAAAAGTGAATCTATCTGGCCAAGAGTGTGCCATTTGGGAAACAACCAGTCTTTGGAAGTGTATGACCAGAAATGGCACAATATTCCTTAAATAGTGCACTGCTGGCCAAAGGTATTGCATTTTAAAGTGGTCTATTTCATATGCACCCCATGTTTGGAAGTGTATGTGTGTGTCAGTCAGAATTATTTTTGCAGAACTCAATCACTTGGAGAAGTAAAAACGCTTCGAGAAATGCATATATCATTTCCTCCTTGGAATGTAAACATTAAATTGAGATAAATAGAGGCCTGTACCAGCGTAAATTATTGCAGCCTCAACCTTTGAAAACTGGCATATTTTCCAGAGCTTTTGAAAAGGGCATCATTTGAATGTAATTTAAATGCAATTTCACAACACTCTGACTTTTCAAAGGAGCCTACTACAATATATGTATTCAGTAATCCATAGAGAAAAACGTGAACTTAATCATTTGTATCTACAGTAATCATATATTATTGACCTTTGTGTATAGTTTTGTAAAAATGTATTTAGTTTTCAATTAGCAGCACTGTATAGCACCGTGTGATGAGACATGAAAACTCATGCAGGTAGCTATGTTTGGTACTGTTGCAGACAGAACACTGTCCTGTTCCCTCAGGACCATCAGACCACTGTCTTGTTCCCCCAGGACTTTCAGACCACTGTCCTGTTCCCCCAGGACCTTCAGACCACTGTCTTGTTCCCCCAGGACCTTCAGACCACTGTCTTGTTCCCCCAGGACCTTCAGACCACTGTCTTGTTCCCCCAGGACCTTCAGACCACTGTCTTGTTCCCCCAGGACCTTCAGACCACTGTCTTGTTCCCCCAGGACCTTCAGAACAGAGCAGCCATGTTAGCAGTGTTTGCACGGCTCTAACTAGGGCCCACCCGTGCGTGACGAGCTGTTGTTGCTCTTCTGTGGCACTACCTTTCACATCTGTCCACTGAGGCAGCAGTGGGGGCACAGCACAGTGGATCAGTCCACCTGAGGCAGCAGTGGGGGCACAGCACAGTGGATCAGTCCACTGAGGCAGACGTGGGGGCACAGCACAGTGGATCAGTCCACTGAGGCAGCAGTGGGGGCACAGCACAGTGGATCCGGGCATCAGTGTACCATGGAGGCCATATTTAGGCAAAGAACTGGCCGTAACGGAGGTGGTTCGGTGAACCACACTTTTGTGATTAGTGAAGACTTGAGATAACTCCCTGAGCAAATGCCTTGGCTTGGTGTGGGTGGATGGTTAAATAGGTAGGTAGGTTGGTAGGTAGGTACTGTAGGGAGGGAGGTACTGTAGGTAGGTAGGTAGGTCAGTCAGTGGGAGGGAGGGAGTTATTGGATGTATTTGTTAAGTGAGAGATGGAGAGTGATGAGAGCTAACAGCTGTACACTTTGTAAGTGTTGCAGTAAAATATGCTGGTATGGAGGTACTGTCGGTAGGGAGGTACTGTCGGTAGGGAGGTACTGTCGGTAGGGAGGTACTGTCGGTAGGGAGGTACTGTCGGTAGGGAGGTACTGTCAGTAGGGAGGTACTGTCGGTAGGGAGGTACTGTAGGTAGGGAGGTACTGTAGGTAGGGAGGTACTGTCGGTAGGGAGGTACTGTAGGTAGGGGGGTACTGTAGGTAGGGAGGTACTGTCGGTAGTGAGGTACTGTAGGTAGGGAGGTAGCGAAGTGTGTTGGTCAATGTGGAGGGGGGGAGGGAGGTAGCTAAGTGTGTGGGTCTGTGTGGAGGGATGGAGGTAGCTAAGTGTGTGGGTCTGTGTGGAGGGAGGGAGGGAGGTAGCTAAGTGTGTGGGTCTGTGTGGAGGGAGGGAGGGAGGTAGCTAAGTGTGTAGGTCTGTGTGGAGGGAGGGAGGGAGGTAGCTAAGTGTGTGGGTCTGTGTGGAGGGATGGAGGTAGCTAAGTGTGTGGGTCTGTGTGGAGGGATGGAGGTAGCTACGTGTGTGGGTCTGTGTAGAGGGATGGAGGTAGCTAAATGTGTGGGTCTGTGTGGAGGGATGGAGGTAGCTAAGTGTGTGGGTCTGTGTGGAGGGAGGGAGGTAGCTAAGTGTATGGGTCTGTGTGGAGGGAGGGAGGTAGCTACGTGTGTGGGTCTGTGTGGAGGGAGGGAGGTAGCTACGTGTGTGGGTCTGTGTGGAGGGAGGGATGTAGCTAAGTGTGTGGGTATGTGTGGAGGGAGGGAGGGAGGGAGGTAGCTAAGTGTGTGGGTCTGTGTGGAGGGAGGGAGGTAGCTAAGTGTTTGGGTCTGTGTGGAGGGAGGTAGCTAAGTGTGTGGGTCTGTGTAGAGGGAGGGAGGGAGGTAGCTAAGTGTGTGGATCTGTGTGGAGGGAGGGAGGGAGGTAGCTAAGTGTGTGTGAAGTGAGAGATGGAGAGTGATGAGAGCTAACAGCTGTATACGATGCAGGTGTTGCAGTAAAAACGCTGATTAAGACATCAGCAGGAAACCTGATTAAAATATACCCTGCTGATGATGGATGTGCCTCTCACTACCAATCTACAGCCATCTAAATTCATCAGGCTCTCTCTCTCTCTCTCTCTCTCACACACACACACACACCATGCACACACTAATTCTAACCTTAACCCTAAATCCTGTAGAAATAGCTTTTGACCTTGTAGTGACCAACAAAATGTCCCCAGTTGGTAAATTTGTTCTTGGTTTATTAAACACATCCACCCTATCTGGTGGTATCTGAAAATAAATACCAAGTATAGTAAGAGGATAATAACAGACAGTAAGAGAGTTTGTCATGTTTTATATAGTGTAAAATCTGCGTCCTATATGGCACCCGATTCCCTATAGTGCACTACTTTTGAATAGATCCCTATGCCATTTGGGATGATGCCACAGAGAGTAGTCCAGTTTGGCATGTTTGATATAGTGGAAAGGGAATTAATGGAGTACTGATGTTGGGCGGCCTCCCAGATACTGTCTGCATCCCAAATGGCACCCCATTCCCTTTATAGTGCATTACTTTCTTACCAGACCTATGTGGGCTCTGGTCAAAAGTTCTACACTATGAAGGGAATGGGGTGCTATTTGGGATGCACACACTGTAGTATAGATGGATCCCCTAGCGGCACATGATCTTCATCCACCTCAGAGTTGATTTGTTTTTAGTGAGTACACACCATTAGAAACAGGGAGAGCTGCCAAGACATGGTAGAAGAAGTGGTAATTATAAATGTGTTACAGTAATGACTTCATCTATAGCCAAGGGTTTTGAATACAGTTTCTGACTTAATCTATAAGGGTTTGTGTGAATACAGTTTCTGACTTAATCTATAAGGGTTTGTGTGAACACAGTTTCTCACTTTATCTATAAGGGTTTGTGTGAATACAGTTTCTGACTTAATCTATAAGTGTTTGTGTTAATCCAGTTTCTGACTTAATCTATAACGGTTTTGTAAATACAGATTCTGACGTAATATATACGGGTTTTGTAAATGCAGATTCTAACTTAATCTATAAGGGTTTTGTAAATACATATTCTGACTGAATCTATAAGGATTTGTAAATACAGATTCTGACTTAATCTATAAGGGTTTTGTAAATACAGATTCTGACTTAATCTATAAGGGTTTTGTAAATACAGATTCTGACTTAATATATAAGGGTTTTGTAAATACAGATTCTGAATTAATCTATAAGGGTTTTGTAAATACAAATTCTAACTTAATCTAGATGGGTTTTGTAAATACAGATTCTGACTTAATCTATAAGGGTTTTGTAAATACAGATTCTGACTTAATATATAAGGGTTTTGTAAATACAGATTCTGATTTAATCTATAAGGGTTTTGTAAATACAGATTCTGACTTAATATATAAGGGTTTTGTAAATACAGATTTGGACTTAATCTATAAGGGTTTTGTAAATACAGATTCTGAATTAATCTATAAGGGTTTTGTAAATACAGATTCTGACTTAATCTAGATGGGTTTTTGTAAATACAGATTCTGACTTAATCTATAAGGGTTTTGTAAATACAGATTCTGAATTAATCTATAGGAGATTTGTAAATACAGTAAATAATACTGTAGCTCAAAAAACAGCAAAGTGTAAAACAGAGCAGTTATAGTGTTAGGAAAATAAGTGGGGAGTAATTATGTGACATAATCTTAATATAATCTATATGACATGACACTGTTCCTGGTCCTTTAAAATTGTTCCTATGAATGCCAAATAGATAACCCAGGAGAACACATAGCACTTCAACACCTCAGTGTTCAATGGGTTAGTGTGAACCCAATCAGCATCACCCTTCTGGAGTGGAAAACCAATCTCTCTCTCTCTCTCTCTCTCTCTCTCTCTCTCTCTCTCTCTCTCTCTCTCTCTCTCTCTCTCTCTCTCTCTCTCTCTCTCCTCTCTCTCTCTCTCTCTCTCTATCTTTCTTAGTGCCCCCCCCCCTCTCTCTCTCATCCTCTCTCTTGCTTTCTCCCACTCTCTCTTTATTTCTCTCCCTCCCGTTCTCCTACAGTCACAGGAGAAAGGTACTGCACTAATTTGTTATCAGACTGGGGCAATGACGTCTAGGCCAATACTGCACTGGTGTTTGTCATGAAAACAGAACAGTACCGCAGTAGCTTAGACTGGTGTTTGTCATGACAACAGAACAGTACAGCAGCAGCTAAGACTGGTGTTTGTCATGACAAAAGAACAGTACAGCAGCAGCAAAGACTGGGACCTGCAGACATGTACTGAAACATGGAACATGAGATGGACAGTGTGACTATGCCACAGGCAGATGTCATCAATGAGAGTTGCCAAGGCAACTTGCTGCTGCTTGATCACTTCTCATATGTCATATGTCTTCATCCTGCAACCATTGCCTACAGAACAGGGTTCTGTCTAGAAAGGATCAAGCTTTTTTCAAAGTTGACTTTTTGTAGCAGATTTAGGAGCATTTACACAGCAGGTTAAGATAATTAATG